TTGACAGAAAGCTGAGTGTTGGTCCATCTGAAACACTTGAGAATGAAATTTGTTGTCCATGAAGTACTTCAAAAGTTGAATGAAATTTGCATTTCCTGAGTTTGGGCAAAATTTGGGCAGCAGCTTTAGATATGTTGACTGGGTAAATTGGTTAAAAAAATGAGGTTACAATTGGCGATTGCAGTAAATATGGGTTGTTGCTGCTGCATAGACATGATGAAGGAGAAAATGAACAGTTTTATTACAAATGATCAAATGCTGCACATTTATTCCTCTTTTAATTAGAACATTTGGCAATTTTTTGGTTTATTCATGTAAAATGTTTGATAAATTTTGTTAATTCGTTGAATTAATTGTAATGGTCATTACTTATTTGAAAAATACTCTGTTATGCTTGTTATGTTACCATTTTCTTAGTTTATGTTATGCTTGTTATGTTACCATTTTATCTTTGGATGAAGAATGTGATGAAGATGACATATGCATTTTTTTTTTTGTTCTGAACACAAATAAAAAAAAGCATTTGAATTAGACGAGAAAATTTTAGCAATGCTATCTTATTAATTTTTTTCTTCAATAGATTAACATTAAACTATTAAAATTTATTGAATAATTAGTTTTATTGGATAAAATATTATAAAAAAGATTCTCAAAATTTCAAAATAAACGCGTTTTCAAGTTTTCTATTTTGAGAAACAGTTTTTCAGAATAACAAAGAGAACGAGCTTTCAACAATTTCAAAACAGACACTCAAAATAGAAAACACAAAATGAATTCAAAACTCAAAACACAAAACTGAAACACGAAGAGAACGGCCCCTAAGTTATTGCTTGCTGCGAGTTATTTCATTGGTATCAGAATTGGATTGTGTTATGAATCTTGTATGTTCAAGTATGAAACCATATATGGTCTTCAATGGTAACTTTTGATATACGTATCTAAAATTAATGAAACTTTATATTATGTATCAAATATGAAGTAGTGTTCATCTGCAAAATTTCATAAATTTTTGTTTTGCATTCAAGAGAAATTAGAAATCCCAGTTGAGTTTCCAGAAACTTTGAAGATATTATAACGTTATGTTCATTGATCGTTCTACATAAAAGATATGATTAGAAAGATAAATTAATTGCATAAGCTTTCTAATAGTGTAAAGATCATTTAAATTTGGCCTTGAAACCAAAGAAATATGGGCATTTGAAGTTTATGTCAAATTTATGATATTTGAAAAAATTCAAAAAAATGAGAAAGAAGATGAATATTATTTTTCCCTCCGTCCGTGTCAGTTGTGTTGTTATACCAAACACTATGATGTACAAAGTATTTGTCAATTCTAACCATACACATTGAAAAATCAAAATTTGGGGAACAATACAAAGAATGGGACTGAAATATGCCTATAAACAACGGCGTATAGCCCAATAGTTAATTTTAAAAAAACAAAAAATCTTCCTTCCGTGTGTGAGGGCTTGTTTGCAATTTTAAAATTGCAAATTAGTCCCTGTAACATTCTGAATTTTGCAGTACATGAAAATTATATTTTCAGATGGTTAAAATATTTTTATGTATTAAATGGTTAAAATACATTTAAAAACATGTGAAATTTAGTTTCTGATTCGATTAAACTTTGAAAAATTCATATTGAATCCAAAATATTTATTTAGGGGGTTTTGTTACCTAGTTGAAGTTTTCGATATGGTTAATACATTGATTATCATGTTTTATACTTCAAGAAATACTTTGAAAGTATTTTAGATTCTTCCATTTGTTAAAAAATTTTAAAATTGCATTGGGCCAAAAAAATATATATTTTTAGTGTCAAAATTTTTCTAATTTTAAATTACACAACGTTCCCGCGTTCTTGAGTTATATTGGTCTTGATGTGCATATAATCCATTACGACATGTTTCTATTTTTGTGCATAGTTCGATGTGGCTAGGTTCATGCACACTTATAGCAATTTAAGATGACTAAAAGAGTATGGATATAGAATGTGATGAGAAGTCATGTTCTTATTGAAATTACGAAAAAGATTTGGAACATAACCTAGTAGAGCAAGAGAAGCTTTTGAAAAATTGTGTGATTCTATGCTTTTGGAACATATTTTTAGTAATATGCAGAATGTGAGTATTCTAATTTTCACTTCCCATTCATGGTGGACGATGTTGCAACAAAGATTGTGGTGTGGTTAAGAACATGCAATAAAACTTAATTAATAAGAGTTTTATACTTCGATCATGTTTGAAATTATCTTTCAAAGAGAATTAATTTGTGATATCATGTTAAATGTCATATTTGGATAAATACATGTTTATACTTTTATTGCATATTATCCAATTATTTTACTGAATAACATGATATATTTTAATTATCAAGTATCATAAATTCTAATATCTCTAGAATTAATGAGATTCTTACTTAGACCCATTGATCATTAATTGAGTGGTAGTTTGGTGGTTTGAAGATTTAGTAAAATATTCACCTATAACTATTTAATCATCAATTGAGAATTCTACAATAGGAGGAATTAATGTAATTCTTGTCCAAAACTTACGAATATTGTGTTATGAAATTAAATTTATGATAGTAAAATATTATGATTGGGAAATTAGTGAATTTTCAATTACGTGCCTAATATTGAACTATTGTATACATTAATTTGCATAATACAATACAATATAAGTACATAAATAGACATTGACAAAGAATATTGTTATCTCTAAAATTTGATAGGAATCAAAATATCTAGTTGTTAACCTTAATAAATGAAATAAGCTAAATTTCAATAACATTAGGCACGATAAAATTTTGGATGTGCTAAAAGAACATGATGTTTTAGAGTGCATCAACCACATAATAGAACATTTAGCGTGGAGCATACTGCTCAAGAAAATGGAGATCAAGAACTTTGTCAAGTAAAAAAAAAATTTGAAAAATAAATAAATTCTAGTGCTTGTGTAATGTTTTGAAAAGTTCTGCAATAGATAATCTTATACTCAAATATGATTAAGTTGAGACTTAGTGTTATCATTAGTGGGTCACATTTTCTCTGAAGAATAGTAATTTTAAACGGTGTATTATCGATAGTAACTTTCAAGGTTAATATGACTTAACAATTGAAGCATCTTTCTTTATTGAAACTACTTGATGTGTTGAGTTAGAGGATGGACGACTTGGTGTTGTAAGTATAGAGGGCGTGTATGTAGCAATTCTCCATTTCTCAAAAGACTTCGAGTCTTGAGTATCAAATGAGTTACAACAAAGGCACGAAAGATGAAGATACTGCATATCAAATAGTAAGGACGTCGAAATGATTTTGTAGAGCATAAATATTACAAGGGTTCAGTGCTTCAACAATAAAGTATTGAATCATTTAGCTCGAAAGTGCTTGAACTAAAGAATATTGCACTTGAAAATATTTCTGTTCATGTTATCTATGTGTCAAAGATTACTTATTGGATCTTATCCTATGTGAATAGTAATTTCAAGAGTAAAAAACAAATCACTTGTTCCTACTTATTTGTCAATTTCTACTCTCCAAGCATTTGTTAACTCAAATCTGATTTTGAATATGTATGGAGAGAAACAATTTTTGCACTTCTTTTTAGCCATTCAACATCTACTAATTGTGGAAATTAATTAGAGTGAAGAAACAAAAATAAAATGAAGGGAAAACAATGGTGGTGACTCAAATCATTCTAAGAGCCTGCTTTAACAATCAAAATCTCTTGATAATGCCATTTTATATCCTAGAAAAAAGAATTGATTATATTTCAATGTGGATGACCCGTACATTCTTCAAATACTTGGTAAGGGGAAAAAAAACTCATTGATTCTGCAGAATAATGAGAGTTTGCATAAAAATTGAGAACACTCAAAGTTTTATTCAATAATCCATTATTTCGAGTGACCCAAATGGGTTTTATGAAAATAATTATAAGTAGCCCTAAGTTAGATTTATCCAATAATAAAGAAATCTTACAAAAATTACTCTTGATTCAATAATTTCAAAATTCAACAAAAATGAACATGAATTTTATGGTAAATGCTAAAAAGGTTTTTTCATCACTAAAACATTGAAATTTAAAGTAGAATCTATTTTCTAATATATACATGTTCATGACCAGAATGTTTTATCATCTAAAAATACACTTCTATTGATATATGTTTTATGATGCGGGCTTTTGAGCATTGATTAATTTTCTTAGTATGAAAATTTCAATTTCTGAACAGATCATTCCCTTTGTTGAGCTCCACAATAAACACGATTTCATATATTATAAATATGAAATTAAATAAATATTACACAATTCCTCCTATTAATCTATTCGAAACAACCATAAGGATGCTACAAATATCCTCAAAAAATTGTGTGCCTCGTTTGAGTTGAGAAGGTTCACTTGGAGGCTGTTCAAATTTGTTGTCACATGATTCAGTCTCTTTCAAGATGGCATCTGCTATAGAAGGCAGATTTTGATAGTTTTCTTGGGTGAGATATTGCTTCCATTCAGCAACACCATCAATGGCGCGGACATAATTCCCCAAACATGAACGATATCTCTCTTTCAGGGAAGAATTTTTCGTTAATTTGACAAGGACCTGAACTGTGTCATAGGCTAGAACTGCACTAGTTTGTGCATTCTCGGTTAATGTATGGGCTATTTCAAGAAGGTTTGCGCCATGTTTGTGGCTTAAAACCTGCAAACATGTAGATTTATTTCGCGTTTTTGAGCATATATCACTGACCAAATCAGATGCTTTCATATCTGTTTCTGCAGATGTAAACCTGCAAAAAAGAAAGGGTACAGAAAACAAAAGGAGCAAAAACAAATAGGGCACAGAAAATGCCATTGCACGTTTTCGTTTAGTTTGTGTTGTGAATTCTACTCCCTAAATCAGATATGAATAACTTAAATCATGCACAATATCTCATAATGTAGAATTGACATCTGTGATAACCACCCCTAGATTTAGCACAGTTGGTAATGACCAAATTTTCATTTAATGCGTATTTAATAATTGTCAATTCAGAGACCTGATTTTGGAAGGTGCTTGCAAACTGTTACGAATTAACATTAATTTCGAAATCAGAGAGTAATAATATGAAATAAATGAGACAATAAACAAAAATCTTTAAGTTCACCTTAAATAAAAGAGCTCAATCGAGGGGTAGGCAATCATCTAAAACCCAGACTTTAGTAAGGCACCCAAATTATATTTTATTCTATATATAATTTTTTTCCAAATAAAAGATCTATATTCTTCAAAGGGTAAAAAAAGGTTTTTAATACATTATTAACTTCTCTTTTTTTTTTTTTTTTTCAACTTTTATTTTATTTTCTCTAATTGTTTGGTCATCCTTAATCCCATCTCATAATTCAACCACTGCAAATTCTCTAGCTTACATGTACACTATTTGATAGTATATGTATAATTTTTAATTTTAATTTTTTGCCCTCTTGTATATTTTTATTTTTTATTTTTGTTACTTTTCAAGTTTTGGTATGAAAGTATTAAATTGATTAGTTTTTTTAATTGTTACATCTATATTCCATCTAATATAAAAGTGAAGCATTAATGATTATTGAAAAGAGTACTAGAAGTAAATTCGAGGACATTTTACACATAGAGTGGCCATCATAATCTTAATCTTGCAATTTGTGATATGACAAATTCTTGTATAAAGGCTAAATTTTTTTATTTTTTATTTTTTTGAAATTTACAATGCATATATTTTTCATCTTCTACAAAGAGGTTGAAATTTATAAAGATATAATGTGAAATGTCGACACTCAAGCCACTATCACAAAAACGTTAGGGAAGTCAAGTTGAAAGTCTTAAAGCTATAAGAGTTCAAATATCATAAATAAAAATGCTTTAAAACACTTGGTGGAAACATGTGATGAACATAAAGCACTTAAAGATGCTAAAGGTTTGTTCTCTGACATTATTGATTTGAGTTCTTATTTGGCATGATTATTTGATAAAAATATATTATCTTGATAAATTAAGCAAAATAGTGCAAAGTGATGACATGTCATTTGATATTGGTATTAAATATTTAAAATCGCTCATTTTATTTTTTGAAATATAGAGAGAAATTGAACTTGAATCTGACAAGATTATTGTTAAAAAATTGTTACTCAAATGAAAGTTGAATAGACATTAAGCACTTTTATGAAATTATCAATGATGAGATAACACATTCAGTTGAATAATTTTTTATAGTTGATTTTTTTTCATATGTAGTTGATAAAACTCTTTCTTCAATTGAGTTAAGGTTTAAACAATTTCAAAAATATGAAAATACTTTTGAATTTTTGTTTGATTAAAAAAAAAATGCAGACCGCAAATGATAATTGTTTGAAGTGTTGGTATGATAAGCTTGAAGAATTTTGAAGCATAATAGGAATTATGATGTTAATGGACATAGTTATTTCTAATCTACAAATTGTGAGATACTGATAGCCAGAAGATACTAAAAGGCAATTGAAGTGTTCTACTATATCTAAGTGATGAACTCTTATTTTCCAAATGTGTAGATTACTTATAAAATATTACTGAACATACTAGTTACAATTGCATATGCCAAGAAGAGCGTCTCAAGGTTGAATTTGATAAAATCCTACATTTGGTAAAAATTTCACAAGAAATATTGAATGAATTGGCTATAGTTCTATTTTAATAGTGTAATTATTGATTTTCTATCAAAAAATTCTAGAAAATTTAATTTAGAAATTTGGAAGTTTTAGATTATTATATTTGTAACTTTGAATATTTTTATTTAAAAAGAATTATTTTTCTATTATTATTTTTAAAACTATTTACTGAAAGAATAATGAAAGAAGAGGCTTAACCAATGTGTTATAGCTTGTTGTACATTATGTATTATATAGACAACTTACAAAGAATAGAAAGATATTGTACAAGAGTTTTTCCTAAATACAAAACGTGTAAAGAGTAAATCAAACTATACTTGGCTAATTATATCTAATTACTGGAACACGATCTCCGATTGTTGGAATGTGATCTGTGATAGGTTGATCTGATATTGATTGCTTAACATCCTCCTCAAACATATGGGAAGGTTACAGGCCATAAGTTTGTCTTTCAAGAATTAAAATCGAGAGGATGTCAAACCTTTGGTAAATATATCTGCAACTTGATCCTAGGTAGAGATATAGCGAATTTCGACATCTCTATTAATCACCTTCTCACGAATAAAATGAAAGTCCACCTCAATATATTTAGTGCGGGCGTGTTAAATAGGATTAGCAGCAAGTGCAATTGCACTCTGATTACCACACCAAACTGTAGGAGGAAAAAGAAAGTCTTTAAGCAGCATCCGAATCCAATACAATTTAGCAACAACCATGACTAATGCTCGGTATTCAGCCTCCATGCTTGATCGAGAGACAACATTCATTTTTTTGTACACCAAAAGACTAAACAAGGGCCCAGAAAAATTCCATACCCAGTAGTAGACCGTCGATCAATAGGATCTCCTACCCAATCTGAATCACAGTACGCATGAAGGCTTAATGTCCCTTTTGTAAAATACAAACCATGTTCGACCATACTTTTAAGATATCGTAAAACAGGCTTTGCAGAATTCCAGTGGATAGTAGTAGGTGAGTGGAGATGTTAGCATAGCTGATTTCCATAATAGGCAATTTCGGGACGAGTTAGAGTACAATACTGAAGAGCCCCAACAATCTGCCTGTAAGCTGTGACATCTTGAACAGGTTCATCAGTCACACAAGAAACTTTACTACCTAAAATGCAAGGTGTTGAATAAGGTTTTGCACCCACCATCCGTGCACGATGAAGAACATCAAGAATATATTTTATTTGCCGAAGATGTAACCCATGTGCATCACGTGACGCTTCAATTCCCAAAAAATATCCCAGATGACCAAGAGCCTTTAGGGTAAATTCCTTTTGTAGCTGAATTGTAAGAGTTTAGAGAAAAATAGGACATGATCCCGTTATAAGCAAATCATCCACATATATGAGAATAAACACATGAACTTTTCATGGTTAAAAGTAAACAATGAAGTATCAACAGAGGATCCCACAAATCCAAGATTAAGTAAACTATAGAAACCATGCCCGTGGTGCCAGTTTAAGGCCATAGAGGGCCTTCCTAAGGCGACAAACATGCTCAGGATATATAGGATCAATAAAACCACGATGTTACTTAATAAAAACCTCTTGTTCTAGTGTTCCATGCAAAAATGCATTAGAGACGTCAAATTGCAAAACAGGCCAATCAAAGAACACTGAAATAGCTAACGCCACTCTTAAGGTAGCATGTTTGATCACAGAACTAAATGTTTCGGTAAAGTCGATACGTTCCACCTGTTGAAAACCATGTACCACCAGCCTAGCCTTATAACGGTCTATGCTACCATCTGCCTTCTGTTTAACCTTGTAGACCCATTTGATGTTAATAATGTTCTGATCAGGAGGCCGAGGTACAAGGTCCCATGTGTTATTAGCCATAAGTGCATCAAATTCCACTTGCATAGCTTGCTTCCATTCTTGTGACAAAATGGCTTGAGAGAAATAGCTTGGTTCTACACAAGTAAGCATACTGATAAACGCACACACTGGATGGTTAGAAGAATAAAAAAGATTAAAATCTGAAAATTGTTTGGGACGAAGAGTGCCGGTGCGTGAACGTGTCACCATATGATGTGGGAAAGCATGATGTATGGGATGAGGTGAGGATGTATTATCATTGGATAAAGATGGATTAGGTAGTAGATTCTGAGGTAGCGGATTGGACTTGGAGGTGACTGAATTTCAGAACTTTGAGGTTGCTCAGGTAACGGACTAGAGGGTATTGTGGATGATGGAGACTCGGTGGAATTTGCAAGTGAATTATTAGGGACATGTTCTGACAGAAATTGTGAATAAAAAGGAGTTAAATCAAAAGACATACCTGTCATGGAATCACTCATGGAAACAAGAGAGGTAGAGGAGGACCATACCCGAGCTGGAAAATTAAGTTCATCAAAACCAACATTTCAAGAGATATAAATCTTTTGAGACACGGGATCCAAGCAACGATATCCATGATACTGAGATGAATAGCCAAGAAAAATACATTGTTTGCTACGAAAAGCTAGCTTATGCTTTGTGTAAGGTCTCAATAGTTGATAGCAAGCGCAACCAAAAGTTCGTAAAAAGAAGTAATCGGGTGAATTTAAAGTAAGGAGAAACATAATCCAGAACTGGAGTGGGATTGCGATTGATAAGATAAATGGCAGTCATAAACGCTTCAACCCAAAACTTTGTAGGCAAATGTGATTGAGCCAACAATGATAGTCCAACTTCCATAATGTGCATATGCTTCCTCTCAACTAAGCCATTCTGCTGAGAGGTATAAGGACGAGAAAGTCATTGATGAATCCCACAGTCACTTAAAAAATTTTGGAATTGATGAGAAATGTACTCGCTGGCATTATCACATTGAAGTTGTTTAATCCTTTTAGTGAAGTGATTTTCATCCAAGGATTTAAAGTGCACAAAATAAGAGAAAACATCAGATTTATTACGAATAGGGTACACCCATGTAAAACGGAGTAATCATCTATAAAGAGAACATAATATCGATGTCCTTCAGAAGAAACAATAGGTGAAACCCAAACATCTTAATGAATAAACAACAAAGGAGACAACATTATACGTGACGAATTACTAAATGGTAATTGCTTAGCTTTTCTCATTAAACAGGATGCACAAACATTATTCAAACTGGAGGAACCAAAAATAGGTAAATTAAAAGAGTTGACAACACTTTTAGTGATATGAGTGGAGGGATGACCCAATCTTGCATGACTAACATCAAGTGTAGTACGAACACCCATAAGAGCAACACTTGAATGGAAATTACTGTCGATTAACTTCAATAGGGTAGGGTCTGCCTTCACTCTTGCATGTTAACAGCGTGCGTCCCGTGAGGTTGTCCTTAACAAAGAAATTAGATCCAGTAAGAACAAAATGGCAATTATTATCTATACAAAATCGATTAATTGACAAAAGATTTAATACTGCTTGCGGGCAATGAA